CCTCCCCTGCCTGCAGGAAGTTCTGGAGCTGCTGTTCATCACCAGCTCTGCTCTGGGCTGGGGTGGCCTCACCTCGAGCCTGGGGGCAATTTTGGGCACCACAATACAAGATCTAAAGCTCTTAGGGGGTGTCCAAAGGATGGATACAAAGATGGTGAAGGGTTTAGAGGGGTGGCAGGAGGAGCAGCTGAGGGCACTTGGCTGGTGCAGCTGGAGCAGAGGAGCCCCAGGGCAGAGCTCAGCGGGGGCTGCAGCTCCTCCCCAGGGGCAGCTCCGACCTCTGGGAGCAGGGACAGGACCCAGGGAAGGGCTGGAGCTGGGACAGGGCAGGTCAGGGTGGATCTCAGGACAAGGTTCTTCCCCCAGAGGCTGGTGGGCACTGCCCAGGCTCCCCAGGGCAGTGGGCACGGCCCCAAGGCTGCCAGAGCTCCAGGAGGGTTTGGACAACGCTCTGAGGGACAGGGGGGAGTGTTGAGGTGTCCTGGGCAGGGCCAGGGCTTGGACTGGATGATCCTGGTGGGTCCCTTCTAACTCAGGGTATTCTGGGATTCAATGACTAGGCAGAATTTGGCCTGGCACCACAACCAACACCTAATAGTTCTCCTACACTAAGGAGGGGAGATCTGCAACACTCACCAAGTCTCTACAGTCAGTCTGAAACAAAACTTTGCAGGTATCCAGGACTCAAAAACTACTACTGCCCTGTCATTTCCTGGGAGAGAGGCCCAGGAATGCTGATACCAGCCTTTACAACAAATACAGGTGGCACAGGGCGTGCAAAACTGAGGTGCAAGCCTTCACAGGTACAAAACTAAGCCAAAGCACACTACAGTGCTGCAGACCAGAAACACAGTCAGCAATATCTGCAAAGGTGTGAAGGGCCAGGGAAGTCATCTGAAATGTGAGCACAGCCAGGACACATAATTTGGAATCGATATCGAAATATTTTTTCCTCTTTTATTTCTTTCTTTTTCTTTCTGCTAACTCACCCCAGTCAAATATAATGGATTTATTTCATTACAATTGGTGCAAAGTCGGCCTGAAGACTCGCAGGTGAGGTGATTCACTGGGCCATATTCTGCTTTTAATATGTATGTGAGGGAGATTATTCTTTTTTTCCCACCCCAGCCACCCTCAGAAAGAGAGTCCAGCTGTTGGCTTCTCTCGTAGCAAAGCTCATATTGCTTTGCATTTTCACCCCTGGCCACGTAAGTAAAAAGGCAGCTCAAAGACTTTGTTAAGTCAGAGCTGAAATTCTCCAAAGCCCCCCCAGATCATGGGGCTTATGGCTTTCATTGAGTCATGGCTTGTAGACTTAAAAAAAGGAGCATGAGCTCTCAGTTGTGACCTGGGCGGTGCAGGCCATTAAAATTCAGCCTGATGCCCCCGTGCTGAGCTTCTTTTTGCCTGAATTCTGTCTTCTCTGACACGCAGCCTTGGGCTGAAGGCATCAAAACTGGAAGAAATCACTGCTTCCCTCAGTGTTTTCTTCTTGTGGTTAATCAGACTCCCAGCTATGAATGAATGCATTATTCCAACTCGAGTTTTTGTGGTTTCAGTGCACAGAAGTTGCTCCTTGATACGTTTTTACTTCTAAACCAGCCCTTTGGTTCCCAGTGTTTTCTTTCCTCGGAAATATGTACACACAGTAATCAATCAATCCCAACCTTCTTTCTGATAAACCAAACAGATCATAGAATGATAGAATGGTTTGGATTGGAAAGGACCTTAAAGATCATCCTGTTCCAACCCCCTGCCATGGGCAGGGACACCTTCCACTAGCTCAGGTTGCTCCAGGGCCCATCCAACGTGGTCTTGGACACTTCCAGGGATCCAGGGGCAGCCACAGCTTCTCTGGAAAACCTACTCCAGGCCCTCCCCACCCTCACAGTTCACCAGCATCCATATTACCAGAACTTATTACCTTTAATCTAGCTATGAAGTCCCAGCTTCTGGAAGTATGTGATTATTCAAGTATTTCCACTGTCTTTTAGAAAAACAAAATTATGTACCTGCCATATTTGGGGTGTGCCTTGTTCTACCTGAAACATGAGGAAGTCCAGGGCGAACTTAAAATGTAATAATTTAAGAAGGTTCATGCCTTTTAAACTAATATATAATTTTTTCTTACACCGAGGTGAGTTATCTGAAGAAAAACAACGTGACAGGATTATATAAAGAACTTCCTACTACCTTTGATTTTATGCAGTAATTTGAATTTCCCTGCGAAATAAATAGAGGTCAAATCCAAATTTACAAAGACCATAAAACTGGAGGTCAAAAATAATCTGTACTCGGTGTTATTTAATACCAGTAACAGAATACCACAAAGTGTAGATATGTCTGTTGACATTTGTGATTTTATTCCTCTCAGAACAGATCTTATCCAGCTACAACTGCTGAAATAACACCTGAACTAAACATGTATCCAAATATCTGGGCACTTTATGTGAGCCAAGCTGTAAATTTCTGATATAAAAATCCATGTCTGCAGTGGAATATTGATTTTACACCTAAGTAATGCCCCAGATTGGAGCAATCTATAACGTAATAAAGGTATAAAAGGAATGTTTTTATTTGACTTGATGATTCAGCCGTGTTTTAGAATATTAAAAGATATAAAAAGAAACTGAAATGACAAAAAATTCTCTTTAAAAAATCTATTTTCCTCCTTTTTTTTTTTTAAAATAAAGCCACTTCCACTCAACTGCCCTCTGTCCTAAGTTATTGTTGGAACTCCATCTTTTGCCTAAATATTGAAAATATCTACTCAGATACAGATGGAAGTTGCTTCATTCCTGCCATTTATTAAATAGGTTTCAGGTCTTCACTGGATTAAAATAGGAAACCTGCTTTGATTTGTGTAGTTTAAAAATTATAGTAGCATTTTGTAGTTTAAAATTATATCTTAAAGATATAATTAAGATTTATCTCTCAAGATACATACGTATAAAACACTGCAGAAGAGGGAATTACTGGCACAGGGGAGGCAAAAAAAATATAAATATTTGTTCACTCTGTCAATTTTAGGAAGATTTAACTGTAGATTCTGTTTTTTTTAATACACCCACTCCATGTGTTTTATGGGGAAGAGATTTCCATAAAATATTCCATATTTCCATAAAATAATCTCTGTACAAACCAGGACACAGCTGAACTCCCTTATTTATCTTCTCCAGGTCTAAGAATCCAAATAAGATCCTGTTGTTTGGAGGTTTTTATCACTCTCCTCTGCTACACAAAATTTTATACCAAATATACCCCAAATGGATCACAATTCCAAGGGAATTTTCCTTTAACTTTGCACTAATGAGAAACCAGAGCCTGATTTTGATAACTAAACAGCATCTATACAGGGGGAGGAAAAGAAAGGTATGGAGAATGAGGGATATATTTGGGAAGAACAGGAAGAGCTGTGGGATTATTTGCTTCATTCCAACCAGACCCTTGTGACTTTAAATCTGTAAAAATCTCCAATAATAAATTAATATATATGTGTATTTTAAGAAAAACAGGAGGCTATTGGCATTGGCAAGGCAGTAGGGATAAGAATATCCTACTAGCAATTTTGGATACCAGAAAAACTGCATGAAAATCATGGATTTCACAGGATCAGCAAGGCTGGAAGAGACCTTCAAGATCATCCAGTTCCACCATCAACCCAACACCACCAAAATCACCCCTAAACCATTTATATCAGGGGGTATCTCCTCTGCTTATCAGTAAGGTAGGAAAAAAGGGGGAAAAAAATCCTGTCTTAAAAAATGTCAAACTTAAAAAATAACCTGAGCAAACTGTGAAATAGTCAAGTAACTATGAAATAGTCAAGCTAGGAGAGGCCCAGAAAAATAAGAGTTTGTTTTCCAAGACCCCCCCAAAGGGAGTTTGTTTTCCAAGACAACCTGTCTGGGGAGGAAGAAAAGAGGAGGAGGCTGAGATAATTCTTCCATTAGCACCTCTCAGAGCAGTAAATGTGCTTCCAGGCACACCAGACTTCCCTGGATCCAGAGGGAACGTGGCTCTGCCCTGATGGAATCACAGGAGTCAGAACCAAGCACAGAAAATGCAGAGGCACCAGAACTGTGGGAAAAAAATGACTGATCCTAAATAGAATTGTGGGTGTGAACCCAAAATGCCTCGTGTTTTTAGACTGGGATAAACTAGCAGGGTGGGAGGTCTAAGTGATTCAGCAATTATGAAATATATGTGAAAGCACGTTGGATGGAGCCAGATTATGGCTGATATTTTAAAATTCAGAGAATTGCCCCCAGTGAAACAAAAGCTACTGAAGAAGGTGGTGCAAAGATGAGAATGACTTATTATCATAGTTCTATAGCAGTTATATATAGTAGTTATTGCACTGAAGTAACAGCACAAAAAGGGTTGTGTCCATATTTATGAGCACAGCCAGGGTGACAGCAGGGCAAGAGAACTTTATTTTCCTGGAGAAAACTCTTTTTTAAATGAGTTTCTACAATTCAAATCATTTACAAACCCAATTCCACTCTTCCTACAGTGGGGAGCATTAGGTCTGGCTTTTTGTCCAAGCTTCAAATTTAACAGTTGTTTCAAAAATATTAAAAATATCCTCCTATCTACCAATTGCCTGATGCTTTGGTGGGATTTTTTTCCACTAAGACCATGTAGCTTCAGCTGTGCCCAGTTAGGCCAACAACACTTCTGCAACCTCAGCAGTGATGACAAAACAACAGAGACGAAATGGCCACTGGGCAAAATCTAAAAAGCTGTTTAAAACTGCACGGGCTGCACGGCATGAGAGGCATTATTTAATCTGGGGGAGCTGATTCCTTTTAGTGCAGCAACCCAAAATCCTGCACTGTGGTTTCAGGTTCGTGTTCCTCCTCCTCCTCCTCCCTTTGTGGACACCTTCAAACGGGATAAATACGAACTTAAGGAATCACAGAATGCTTTGGGTTGGAAATTTTCACTTCTATTTTTTTTTTTTTATACTTTTTCACTTGTGGTTCGATCACAGGTACCTTGCAAGAGGTGAGGATGGAGAGGCTGGTGAGCAGTAAGGACAGCTGTCATCTCATCGTGATCAGAAGGGTGGATGTACTCGTAAATGCTGTTTCCAGTGAGCTCCACCTGTGGAGGGGACACGTAACACAAGCAGCTGGTTCATTTTTTTTTGTCCTTAAGCAACCCAAGCCCTGCAGCTGGGTGACCACACACCAGTTTTAGAGCAGGAGGTTGATGTATCAAACCCATCTTCCAAATTACACCCATTAAACTGAATTCACCTCTTCTTCAGCACCAGTTAATATTGTTATGGGAATTTCTGGTGGTGCACCAGAGGCAGAAGAGCTGCTGCTGGAGAGACCTGGGAATGAAATGATAAACTGGAGCAGCTGTAGAAATGTTTGATCGCCACGAAACGGGGTGAAAACCTCCGGGGACGGCCTTAATGTCCCTCAAGGGGGCAGATATTTAAAAAATAACGTTTCTGCAGGTTCCCAGAAACTCTCACCTGCGCTCAGCTGGCAGCTGAGCTCTCTGAGCCAAAACCACCCCACTCACACAATCCCTTTGTGCCTTTTCAAAGCCCATCGGCCGCGCTCCATCCGCAGCCGGGGAATTCAAAAGGCAGACTTCCCCGGATTTTCACTGCTCTAGGCAGACATGGGGGGGTAAAGACTAGATCTGCCTGAAATATTCCCTCTTCTCCCTCGAACTTTGCTGGGGCAGGGATGGATTTCTGCCTTTCCCACCTAAGAGCTGTGGCACACACGATCAAACGAGCGGCGGGCGCGGCCTCTCCGCGACTCCCGTTTGCCACGTCTAAAACCCACCCACAGAAGTCTCCAGATAGAGGCAGTAATTGATTTAAGGAGCCAACCAATACTTTGAGCCTGTGTTTTAAATTAGTGTCAGGCTGCCCAATTGTTCTGAGTGGCCTGATGTGCCTTGGGCCCCCAAGATCAGAGGCAGCTGAGAGGTGAAGTAATTTAACCCATTATTCTGAGCCAATCCTGCTGCTTTGCTGAGATGTGTGAGTTGCCTTTTCTTCGGAATAAATGAAGTTGTCTGCCCCACAAAGCAATCTTTTTCTGAAAATGTTTCTCATCCTTCCATTTTCTGCATTATTCATGGAATGTCTCTTCCCAGGGCTATGCAAACTAACTTTTTTTTATTCCCCACTGCTCCTTTCCAACAGCCCCTCCCTGCAAAAACAAAAACACCAACACTGATTTGATGTTTGAACCAGACTAAAACTTCACTGAGTAAGGGGGAAAAAAAGTGGAAGGGAAAGAGAAAGGAAAGAGAAAAAGAAAGAGAAAAGAAAGATAAAAGAAAGAAAGAAAGATAAAAGAAAGAAAGAAAGATAAAAGAAAGACAGAAAGATAAAAGAAAGAGAGGAAGGAAAGAAAGAAAAGGAGAAAGAAAAAGAAAGAAAGAAGAAGAGGAAGAGAGAGAGAAAGAAAGAGAGAAAGAAAAAGAAAGAAAGAAAGGAGATAAAGAAAGAAAGAGAAAGAAAGAAAAAGAAAGAAAAAGAAAGAAGGAAAGAAGGAAAGAAAGAAAGAGGAAAGAGGGAGAGGGGAAGGGGAAAAGAAAAAGAGGAAAAGGATATTATCTATGTTGCTCCATTTATATAATTTTCTCTAAAAGTTCTCCTTAAAAAGCACTGGCTGCTCCTTTTCAGGACAGAAACAGGTGGGGACTTGTTACAGTGACAACCCATATTCAAGTTTTAGTGGCAGGGGAGGAAGGAGAACACACACATCTCACTGTGAATCATGCTTGGCAATGCTTCTCTTTCTTTATAATTACAAGGGGGAAAAACATACTGTAAACGTCCATTTTTTAACCTATGGACTCGTTAAAAAATTCTGATTATTCTTATGGGGATAAACACTTCAATGGTCAAAACATGAAAAAAATTCCCATTAAAAAAATGCACAGCTGAGGTCAGTGTTTAAAGCAAAAGGAGCATCACTTATGACCCTGCTCTTATCATTTTGTCTTTGGCTAATAGTGATTTTTCTTCTGAAAGTTTTACCCTTGAAATTAAAACACTTCCATCAAAGAGAATTTACCTCCCAAAAAGTAAAAACTCGTGGGTGGCTCTGTCTGAACAATCTCTCCCTTCAATATAAAGACTTTCTTACCCAAAAAAAACCACCAATCAACCTGACCAGACACATCAACTGCAGCAAAGCAAAAAGATCCTGTTGCATCTCTGCTGTTACCAACTATAATCACGACCACACAAGCTCTTAAAAACTGTAACTCATGGGCATCTCTCTTGCTTTTCCCCAAAATCATCACCTAATTTGAAAAGGAAACACACACGGGACTCGAAGGTCCCGGTTTTATCCGAAAGCGTAATTTATATTCTGGTATAATTTGATATTTAAAATTCAACCCCAGAATGTTTTATCCGAGTAAACGACCGGTTTTTCCTCGTTACACACACACAGAGGAACATTTTTGGCTCGAGGGGCGTGTTTGGAACCCCCTGGGAGGGGGGGAAACCAGCGGGAGGTGAAACGTTCGACGCCCGAAAACCAAAATTGACTGTAAAAAATTGGGAGTGGAAACACAAAAGCCACCAGCGAGGAGATGGGGGGTGGGACCATGTGAGAGTCAAATAACCCAAATATGGATCCATAATTTGGAAACCCACCACAAGCTCCCGCTCTGCAAGGGCCCATTTCAGGCCGTTTTAAAGCCTGCAATGAAACGCTGAAAACTTTGCCCAAAAAAATAAAAAGAAATAAATACACAAATTATATGGTTCGATTCATAAACCTTCTAAAATCCCATGCCTTGGGCTTATTAAACCTTGATGCAGCTTTTTAATGTCTGTAAATACCTGCTTACTACCAAATATCACCATTTCCTACTAAGAGGGTTTTTATGTGTAACTCAGCTGTATATTTTTTTTTTCCTGCCCAGGAATGATCCATAATAAACACAGAGGACTAAGTGGGTGGATTCTAGAGCAAATAATTACATGTTTTGCCTTTCAGATACTGATTTGATGGAGGTAAAACAAACCCCTGGAAAAGTTCAGATGTTTGTGGTTAAATATTTCAAGATTTATCAAAAGGCAAAGATAAGCTTGGCTCCCTCGTGGGTCCAGAAAATGGGTGGAATAAACTCCAGACCTTCAAAATAAAATAAAAATACATCGTTCACCATTGTTTCCTAAGAGGATTTTTCTCTCCATTTCGTGTCTTTGGACTCTAAGGGGAAAAAATATTTGGGGAATTTGAAACCTATTTGTTATCCACGGAAAAAAAGAGGCAAGGAATTGGCTGCCTCAACCAGCACAAAGTCAGTTCATCAGTGGTCTGAGGCCAGCTGGAATTAGATGGAAGAGGGGGGTCCTAATCATCAGTATTTACAATATTTACTGTTACACTTGAGGGCAAATCAAAACCCAAAGCCACAAGCTAAGTGGCAGGCCCCCAAAATGAAGATGTAGATTCTTCAGAAATCCTGTTTCTGATCATCTGCAGGCAGAGAACTGAGCAAGGTCCTGCTGTAAAACAATCCTCGGTGTTGTTTTGAAAGGCATGACCAGTTTCACCACACCAGCCAGCGAAGCTCTAATTTTTCAGAAACTCTAATTTCTCTCCGCTGGAGAAAAAAAAAATTCGAGATCAACCAGAAGATAAAGGCGGCTGTCACTGGCCTCCAAAAATATCCTGCAAAAATATTTTGAAATGGCCTTTTTTATTTGGTTTAAATATACATATATTTTAAACAAATTGCAATTTAACTGGAAATTAGACGTGTGGACTAGTTAATTGTCAAATTATTCAATAAAAAGGCCTTTCTGTGCCCACTCTAAAAGATTTTCTACAATCACCATCACTCTGCTCTCAGCTTGTATTGGCTGGAGCTCTGTAAGAGCACTTGTTGAAAATACAGTGTGGGATTATAACTCGCAGAATTTACTTCTCCCTGACCAATCTCATTCTTGTTGATGTCAGTGGCAAAATTCCCAGTGATTTCCAGAGAAGCAGGAACAAGAACTCATTTAGAGCCCTGGGAAGCTTGCAGGAATATCCCAGTGTTAATGTATTAATATCCTAGTGAGTTAATATTAATATTAATGTTAACGTTACTGAGAGCAAAATTATCCCCTCAAAAATAAAATATTGACACACAGCAAGAACAGATTAGATGATAAATCAGCATGAGGAAAGAGGAGGGAGGGGGAATCACTGCCTTATTTATCTGAGGGGGGGGTCTTATTTATATAAATAAACCCCTGTGCCCTGTGAAATTGTGTGTTTTGAGAGTCTAAAATATGCCCTTAAATTTCACATCTCTCGATCCTTTCCAGGACGCAGCTCATTTATTTATAAATACCAAACTTTCAAGGATACAGCTCGTTTGTTTATAAGTGTCTACTGAAGGGAAAGGTTTGGGATTTTGCTCGTGAAACTTGAACTTCCAAAAGCAACGTGACCAAATCCTCCAGTTTTCCTCTTGGAAAACTGAGGGGTTACAGATATTTCCATGCACGTGGAATTCAGTCAGTGCAGATGGCCAGGAGGGATAAATAGGACTAAAGCCTGTGTGATGCTCTCAGTCCCCTCTCCTTGAGTGTGGCAAAGTCTCTTTAGTGTCCCACTGATCCCATAGTTCTTTAAATGGGATAATACTGAGACCTGGGAGATCTGATGACTTGATATTCCCCCGAAAGAAAGAACTGAGGAAGTTTCCTCCTCACATTTTTAAAGCTGGCATGAAAAAAAAAAAATACCTACACTGACTATTTATTTTCAAAACTACTTTTTCTAAAGATGTTAGAGAAACGGGGGCTTGGAAATGGTGTTTATGAGTTTATATATTTGCTTTTTCTCGCCCTTCAGAGTTCTATTTTCTCTCCCGGCTACTAATTCAAATATCACGGTTGTAAACACACATTCAAAGAGCTCCACATTTTTTCAATTAAAAATATTAGTTCCTACCAAGGTTAAGCACACATGTAATCCCCACCAGTCAAGCCCCCTCCCTGTTTATTGAAATAACCACAGGGCATATTCCCCAGGTATTTTCAGAACATCCTGCTCTCCCCTCACCTTCATCTCCTCATTCTTCTTCCCTCTTCTATTTAGTCTTTATTTCACTCTGCTTAGCTCTGATAAGTGTTTGACACACTGAATTTGTGCTGAAACACATCTGCTTCTTGAAAGTCTCATCCAGGGCCCGGTGAAATTAATTGGGAATTTTTCTGCTGGCTTTCAGCAAGCTTTGGGTCAGGTGCTACCAAGGAATTTCTGTAATACATTTACAGACAAAGGTATGGAAACTTGCCTTCTGCAATAAATTCGGGCTGGTTGCCCTTGTGCCTATCCCAAGAAGGCCAAAAAAAAAAAAAAAAAAAAAAAAAAAAGAAAAAATTAGAAATGTCCATCTAAGAAAAAAAAACAATAAAAAACCCTTATGCTCCTTGTGCAGAACAGTAGTAAACCGAGTTTTATGAGTTCTATCACGACCATATAAAACGCTTTACTGAAAAGACCACTGAGCTGGAAAAACTCAGGCAAAACTACCCTGAATTCCATGTGAGCACTCATAAATCTGCCCCCCTTTTCTTTCCTTTTTTTTTTCTTATTTTTTTTTCTTTTTCCTAAAGCACATTTACCATAAAACTCGTGTTCCACATCAGATTTCCTCTCCATTTCATAGCGAGCCTCAATATCTTACACAATCTAAAACCTACAGACTCGAGTTCTGAGCTTTATTTCAGAGTGATTGAGTTACCACGGCAGGCAGGAGGGTTGGGTTTCAAGCCCTGTATAGATCTGCAATTTGCAATATCATATTATTTATTGCCCTCCTTAAAAGGTAATGAGGAGTAAAATACAATGAACAAGAAAAGATATAAAGACAGTCATGATGTGGCTGTGAGCAAAGGGAACTTGGATATTTTACTAGGGGCACTTTCAGAGGAAAAAAGCCAAACCTTGAAATACCCCTAAAAAAAATGATATTGTATAATGGCAGGATACCAGTGTTAGGTTCAAAATTTTTATTTAACAGCTGATTTAACACATCACTCATACCTGAGACAAGCCAAGATGCACAGATGCTGTTTCAGAGATGTACATTATTTTGCCATCTGATGCTACCACGAAAACAAAGCCATCCAAAGTCTGAAATAAAGGGAAAGATGGAGGGTAAGAGACAAGCACCCTGGTTAAAGCATTTACAGCGAAAATAAAAGAAAACCAAGGAAGATTTCCACCAAGAGCAGCAAAATTAAAGGAATGGAAACCTTTCTCTGATGCTGCTCCTTCAAACATTGGTTGTGAGACCCAACTCATTCCCCTGCAGACACAGCTTCACTGCTGCACTTTCAGTGAACATTCTCCTGTTGATTCAGGCTATTTTAGTGCTTAGCACAAATCCTGAGCTATGTGGTGCTTAGGGGGAAGTCCAACACTACGTGAGCCATTTTTTATGGCATAATTGGCAGACACAGCCCACTGCTGTTTGCAACATATTTCGTGGTGCTGCAAGCAAAGCTTTAAGTCTGACTGTGTTTTCCAAAGTGTGTTTCTGAACAAGAGCTGTCTGCTCCCTGACTACGTGAACTTCCAAAAAGGAAGCAGAGTAAATCAGCTTTCAAAACTTTATCACACTCGAAGAGAGGTGTTTGTGCTGATGAAGTTATATCCTTGCAGTCTGGGCGCGTTGACCAATGGAATTTTCAGTGAATCCAACCCAATCCTACAAATTCTTATTGATGGGATATTGGCTGGAAGGTAAATATTACTTGTGTGAGTAAAAAGTGAAGTGTAATTTAGCGGTGTATCAGTCATATAAGAAAAAGAAAAGTGATGGCAAGTGGTGCAGCTCAGCCAAAATGACCATGATTTGGACACATTAACTCTCAGTTTGGGGAGACTTTGATATTTTAGTGCCCGATTTGAGACATTTTTTCAAAAGTATCTGATATTCTCAGTCAAACAGTCTCCACTGGTGTAGAAAGCTTTGATCAGCACATACCTATGAACGTCACAGGAAAATACATTTGGAAGAGAAAAATCATTTTTACAGCTCGCAGATAAAAGAACCACTTATTTTAATTCATTTGAAGTTACTGGACCAGAAGAGAAGCAATAAAATCCTGTATGCTTCTTGCTCTTATAGTGCCACCCCAATAAGAAAATATCCCAAATTATTCCCTGGCCTACTAACGATTCTACAGCATGTAATTGAAACCAGATTACTCTTTGCCTTTATTTTCCCCCCCTTTTTTTTTTTTTGAACATAAATTAAATTTTGTTGAAGCATCATAATGGGAAACAAATTACTGCACCCTTAGCCATAACTTTGTTTTTAAACGGTGTCATCTTGCAATGGCTCTACCCAGTGTCGCAACTAAACCAGTGTCAGTGCTGCTGTCACTGCACCATGTGGTGCAGCAGGTCCCAAAATTTCCTGTGCAGAAAAGCACACTGAAGCTGAAACTTCACATGGAAAGTTTCATTCTAAGAATGAAATGAAAAGGTTAGGAAATAAAATAAAAAGGTTTACAGTAAATGGGGGTTTATTAAAATGTGAAGAATACGTCATCCAGCAATAACTGAACTGTAAAATGGGTATCACAGGTGAACAGCACATAATTAATTATAAGTTCAATTAAAGCCAGACAAAACGTGGAATGGCCAGCAGGGAGGAGGAGCAAGTGTAACAATGGTTTGTATGACTAGATATGTATTTTAATCTATATGTTATATTATGCATATATAATAATATACATAACTAGATATATATTTCCTAGGTGTACTGGCGATGCTGGAACACCTGGGAGGGCATCACCTACTTAGAACAAAATTTCCAAGGCTAGAAATGCCTCCCCAGGAGGTCATTCTGAGCTCTGTCCATCCCCATTCCCTGTACGTGGCCAGCACCTCACCCTTCCAATCAGCCTCCCCAAAACGCTCTCCCTCTTCCCCGCAGGAGGGATGTTTTGCAGGGGCTGGGGTGGCAAATAAACAACCGCGCGCGTCATTTCCAAGGTCGGGGGACCTGGCGCAGCATTCCCAGCTCTCCCACCTCGCCACAGCTCGAGCCTGGGGACAAGGACACAATGGGGTGGGCAGACCCAGGGAGCCCGAACAGAGTTTTTCTGTTGAGGTTTTTTTATCCCCCAGCCGAGCGAACGGTTAAAACAGCTCCAGCTCTGTGACCAGGAATTAACCTCCCACAATAAAACCGGCCGTTAAATGATTACGGTTTGCCGGCTCTTTAAAATCGGGGCAGAAAAAAAGAAAAACAAAACCGCGCTGCATTAAGTCCACATATATTAAAAAAAATAAATAAATAAAAATAAAAAATATGGAGCTAAACGCAATTTATTTTTTTTTCCTTCCCCCTCCTGCTGGAACGCTCGCCCCAGCTACGACTTCCTAAACTCTCCTGGAGTTCAGAGGAATTCCAGAGCAGATCAACGGGATTGTGAACAACGGTATTTTCAGGTGCTAACGTCCGCGGGAGATCCGATCCAGGTGTTTCCCTCCCTCTGGAGCCCTGCGCTCGCTTCCAGGTTTCCCCTCCCGAAATTCCCGGTGTCCGGCGCCTCTCCAGACAAACCCCGTCGGCGCTGGCCGGGACCTGCCTGGAGGCATTCCCAGCAGATTTGAGGTGCCTGATTAACGCTTTTAGGGCTGGGAGACACTTTGCGTTCACGGAGGAGTGGGTTCTGCTAACATCAAAAGTAGTAGTAGTAATAATAATAATAATAATAATAATAATAATAATAATAGTAATAATAATAATTATAATGACAGAAGTGGTCGATGTCTCGGTTTTCCTCTCCCCCCAGCCCAACGAAGCTCGGGAATAAGGTGAAGGCTTCACCCAGGCTCCTGTGGCGGTGCGGGGGTGAGGAATAAGCGGAGGAGGAGGAGGAGGAGGGGTGGGAGGCAGATCCCACCACCACACCAGGTTCCCGGTGCGCGGCGCGTACGGGAGGAGGGAGGCGTCCACTACCTGAAGCAAGTGGGATCCGAGCTCCATTGCCACGTTATCCAAGGGCCCTATCCTGCTCGGCTGTCCCCAGGCGTCGCCCAGACCTGCAAGGGAAGCAAGGAGCTGGTTAGAGCGAGGAGCCCGTCCCCCAGCCCCGTCGGGACTGCGCTGCCCCCAGTCCGCCCGTTCCCCCCATTCCCCCGCCGTCCAGGCAGCGACGGGGGGGATTAAGAAGGTTGGTAGGGCTGAATCCCTTCTCCACGCACACGTGGGAAGGGAATTGCTCTTTTTCCGGGCAAGGGTACCCCTTCGGACGCCCTTTCTCCCTCCCCGGAGAGCCCTCGATCCCCAGGGAGGCTACGGCCCCCACCGCTTCCCATCGTCCTTCCAGCAGCACCGTGCCCGTCCCCCCTCCCCGCGGCGTTATGACCGGCGACCCCCACGCCGGCCAAGGCGAGTCCCGGCTGGGGAAGGGGTTGAGGAGATCAAAGGGGTCGGAGAGAAACTGCCCCGACGGGCCCTTCACCTGCGCACGGACGGGACCGACCCATTGGCACAACTTCACCCCCACGGCCCCGTCGAGCCCCGACCCCTCTGACCCCACAGCCCGACCCGATTAGGGGGAGCCCGGCGCCCGGCACAGCCTCGGTGACAGCGAAAAGTCATTGATGGAGCTGGTTTGGGAGCGCTTGGGGCGAGGAGAGGGGCTGGGACGGGGTTGGGTTTTTTTGTTGGTTGACCGGGTTTTTGTTTGTTTTTCATTTCCTCCGTGCAAAGAAGGCTTACACCAACTCCCCGCTGGAGCTGAGACCACCATCCAGTGAAATGAATTAACTAGTTTAGGAGGTTCACAGAGTGCCAGCCGAAGAGCTGGGTACTCACGTTGGCACCTGATGGCAGACGTGCCACTGCCCGCAAAAGGCGCACAGACGGAGGGGAAGGGAGGGACGCGACCGCATCCTTTTAGTGCCTCCTTTTTTGGGGAGAAAGAACAGCACGGCTGCTGCGAGGCCACGGAGCCCTCAGGGCGCTGCGGAAGAGGGTGAGAGAGAGAGATTCGGTGCTGCCAGCCCGGCGGGACCGTGAATTCCACGATCGCCCGGGGGGTCCCGTCTGGAGCGCACATGCGTGCGATGGATGCGCAGCCCTGCACCCCTCGGCCCTGCGCCCCTCAACCTCCAGGGTCGCTTCAAACCCATGTGTCGCCGCGAAACGGAGCGCCGTGTTTTCCTCCCGTGCCCTCTCGCCGCCCAGGGGCTTCCAAAGAAACCTCCCCTCAGACACTGGCGGGGGCAAAGGCGGCTGCGGCGGGATCTCAGCAGAATTTGGCACCCGGGCAGAAATCCCTGCGTGATTCTGAAGCCCTCACGGACCCGCGTGTGCTTTGGCCATTTAGACCTGATCTAGAAATGATGGGAGGCTTTCTCTCCGCTCTCGGGGAGTCCCTTGGGATGGACAGGATCTCCCGCTGGAGGAACATGGGGAGGATGCGCCGCAAAGCTGCGCTTCCCCCCGAGTTTTGCCGCCCTTCCCTGTGTCAGCCGAGCCTGGCCCCGTGTCCCGCTCCCTCCGGGCAAGCACAAAGGAGCCTCTGAAGCCAAGCAGGGAACCCCAGGGAACCTTGGCCGGCCCTGACACCTCCGCTCCGCCGTCTCAAGGCGGTAGCAGCAGCCAGGGTCATTCCCAAGAAGTGGCGTCTGCATCCCCATCCCGTGTCGGCGGATCTCTCCAAAGCCCTGGAGTTCTCAGTGCGTGGCTGCGCTTCCCTGTGGGCAGGGGAAGGACACCTTCCCTCTGCACTGGGAAATTTGCTTGGAAGAGCCAAACGAAAACTCGCGCTTTTCTACGGCGCTTCCCAATTCTCCTTCAGGAGAAGGCTCCCGAATTTCCAGAGACGCGTCAAAACGTTCTTTGTGCTGAAAAGCTGCTTCCTCTGAGGAGGAAAGTTTGGGGATCGCAGAGTCATCCTGCGATTTCTTTCCCGAGACTGTAACAAATACAAACGGCAGAGCCTGTCCAGGTGCCCTTATTTCGATTTACTAATTACCAATCACAAAGCACAGGGTTGCAACACTGAAAAAGGGGGTCACACCTGATGAAATAAAAACTGTCTGGAGACGAGCTCTCCCTTTCCCATGGACGAAGCAGATTTATTCCTTTGGCCACTCACGAAGCTCACCGAGAACGAGCCGTGTTTCTGCCTCACACGTGCGTGGCAACTCCCTGCGTCCTGTCCGTCACGGCAGGACAGGTACCATTTCATAGCATCCCCCCAAACCTGCGCTAGTTTTGAGGTTCTTTCCTAGCCCGGACTAAAAACAAACAAACAAAAAAAGAGTCACTTCGGAATTTTAAATTGGAGTTGCGATTGCGAACTCGCATCAAACGTAAACACGTTTGGTGGATCAGCCTGGCATTCGTCTAAGCTTATTTTAGAGCCGACGATTTTATCATTTAATCCACCCAGCAGATCTCTTTAAAGGTGGAAATGAAACGAATAAAACCTGACGTTCAAATAAAGGGCTGACGCCCATTAACTCGTCTTCCGAGAGATTTGCAAACGCGCCGCGTTGCGTCCTGTAAACATATGGATGCAATAGCCTCCTGCCCAGCCAGTAAATAACGCACATTTTCGCTCACTGGCCTGGAGCGAGGCCAAAATTGCTGCCGATACACAGCGAGCCTTTCCCACATCGCTCCATCTCTGGGGGACTTTGCTGGGCTGACCCCGGCCGGGAGGGGACCCCCGTCGGGGCGGGCTGCCGGGGGTCCGACATGGCTTTGCAACCCGCGCCGCGCATTCGTTTCGGAGGAAATGTTTAAAAATGCCCGAATTAAGCGCTGCCCCGGCCCAGAAAGCGATTTCCCTGCAAGCGAGCGGCTGGAGCATCCTTCCTGCGAATGCTGGGAACACGCGCGGGGGTGGCTTGGCCCCAGGGTGCAACCCCTTTACGGTGCTAGAAGGGTAAGGGATCGCCTAAATCCAGCGGTTTGGGGCGATTCCGGGCGCTGCCGGCAGAGAAAAGCCCGGAAAGCCTAAGCCGGGTTCAGTGGCAGAGCCCGCGCCGGCCGGCGGGGCTGGCACGGCCGGGGGAGGGTGACTCGCCAGTTCCAGTCTCAGCCTTCTCTTTCCTGGCATCCCGCCGGCGGCAAACATGGATGAGAGGAGCCTCTCTCCCTCTTTACCCTGCTTTTACTGGTGTCTGTACTGGTGTCTGTCCCCGCCGGGACCAGGGCCGTGCTGGGAGGGCAGGACGGGCACAGTGGGATGCCTGGCAGGGGAAATAACCGGCCCTAAACGCAATTGTGCCCGTCAGCCCCCTCCAGGCGACAGGTTCGGCTCCGACAACGCCGTCCCGGGCACAGAGAGGGGGGTTTGCCCCAACACCCCAAAGTTCGTGTTGCTTTTGCCGTTGAAAGACGAGGGTTCTCATACGAACGCGCCCCCCTCCCTTTGGCAAACCGGGGCACGATCCCCCCTCTACCCTCTTCGTCTTTTGCCACCTGTGACTCTTTTTCAAAATACCTCAACATTCACTTTGTACCATTTCCCAGTTTCCAGGGAAGGAGGGAGAGTGAGTTTAACCGTAATAAGAGCTAGAAATACTTGGGAACAACTCCCACCTTTGCTCTCCGCATACATAAATTCGTGCGCGCACACATTTGAAAGCCCGGTAGCTTTCCTGCTCGGGATTCTGCTAAAAGAATTACTTCGCGATGTATTATGTTAAGTATCGGGTTGCCCTGTAACTTGGAGTATTTCCTTTGTGTCTGCTGGGCTGTTCCCCGGCTCCCCCCGCCTTATTCAATCGCCATCCTTCACAGGGAACCTTGGGTCAACTACAAGCTCCGGGGGTTCGCCGCCTCTCCTGGGTTTTGGGGTTTTATTTTTTCCCCAGCGCGGTTGTGCCTCGCTGGGCCGGGAAAGAAGAATCACGGCGGGGGCGGCCCCTAGTTTATACCGAGCTTTGTCTCCCTCTTTTAGTCGAGGTCCAAGGTTGGATTGGGCTCTCGTGTCATCCCGTGGTGTGGGGGAGGCAGCGGGGCGGGGGACACAGATGACACTTTGCTTTAAGCAGCGGGGCGCGAGGTATCTCAGCCCCGACGGCACTGAGGGTGGCATCGCTGGACCCGAGGGGCCGGGACGGCTCTGGAGCCGACAGGAATCGGCTGGAATTCCGGCGGGAATAACCTCTGCGAGCAGAGGGGAAGCTCCCAGGTCGGGGTGGCTTTGGGAAGGAACAGGGTTGGTTTAGTCTAAGCTCGGCAGGGATGTGCCGGGCGCTCTGCGGGCATCAGTGTCACCGGCTGGGAAGGCGCCCGAGGGTTGGGACGGTGGGAAGGGCGGACGTCAAGATCAGGACTTTAATGTTATTATTTTTTTTTTTTTTAAGGAACAAAACAAGGTCAGGTCATGTAAAAAAAAAAAATTACAAAAAAATAAAGAGGAAAAACCAAAAAAAAAAAACCAAACACGTCAAAACTGCTCTCCAGGACGCCCGGACAATCCCAGACCCGGCTCTTCCCGCCGAACCAAAAACACCAGATCGTGATAACAGGCCCCAAAGTAGGGGTACTACAGGCAGCGACGTCCCGGGTGGACCCGCAGGTCCCACGGCAGTGACCCCCGCCCTCCCTCCTGTCCTCCCTCCTGTCCTCCCTCCTGTCCTCCCTCCTTCCCTCCCCGCCGGGAGGGAGAGGCCGGACCGACCCCGCCGCCCGTCCCCGCAGGGCCGCCGGTTGCTGCCGCCCGGGAACGGCCGCGCAGCTCCGGGGAAGCCCTAAAAAAGCACTTTTGTTTTAGTAAGACCTTTAATGTCACTATTGGCCGTTAGTGCAATAGACACTCGCTTTCGAAAAGGGATTGCTCACTCCTCGGGCTTTATTTATTTATTTAATTCATTAACGAACCTCTTCATAGTGGGTATGAAAATCAGACGAAACAGCTGCGATTCGCCTCGATTTCCTTAAAATACACATTCATGAGTTAAATGAGAACAGAAAACTCTGTATGTTCCTAATAATTTCTATTGTCTGCGTCTCGGAATACGAAAAGTCTAAGATCTACCGCTCAGTCACTTTATTCAGATTATTTTGTATAGCGCAAATTATCTTTTGGGTCACATATTAATTAACTCTCTCTCGTCCGGTTTAAACAACCATAATGTCCGATTTTATAATCAGTTTTGGATACTGCGTCGGGGGTGGGGGAGGGAGAGGGTGACTATTTAGCCAGTCTGCCATAACCGGAGGGCAGAGAATCGCGGATTTTAAACGCGAGTTATTCTCGCCTCTTTCTTTCATTAACTCATTTTCAGGGGAAAACAATAAAAATAAAAAACGCTGACAGTCAAGACAGAAGAAATTCCGTGGTGTATTTTTGTTCTACAGCAACAAATGCCTTAGGAAAAAAAAAATAGAAAAAAACCAAAACCCGAGAGAAGACGGTGTCGCAGAGCGGGAGCGCGGGGGAGGCTGTAGGTTGTGTCTCCTGACTTTAACTCCTCAATCTCAAGGTCGGAGCGATACCGCAGGGCACAAACTGTGATATCAGAGCACGAAATTGTGCCTTGCAAGTCTCGCACTCTGAGGGGTGAAAGGAGCTGGGGTAGAAATTCCCTTTCTCTCTCTCTCCTTGGAGTCCGATCGGGCGCCTCTGCGGGAGGATCTGAGAGTTCACTCCATAATGTGCATCTTCTGGAAAAGCCTGGCCGGGGTGAGCAGGAGACCTGCCTGAACCATTTTGCAAACCCTGTCGAAGCGCTGGGATCTATCACCTCGCTGAGGGGCTCAAACTTTTCCTAAATTATGTTTCGGCTCGCTCTGGAAATAAGGGGGGAAACCATCGAGGTTTTTTAAAAGCACAGCCCTCTCTCTCTCTCTCTCTCTCTCTTTCCCTCCAGTCTAGACAGAGCTGGAACCGGGTTTGTAGCTGGACAACGTTTCCGATGGCTCTGACCTCAGCTAATCCACACAAGCTGGTGGCCTCTCAGGCCTGTCCCCCCCACCCTGACACCCCCTTAAGCCTTACAGGGGTGATGTCACGGTGAGGGCCAGGGTGCCCCCACTCTTGGGGGCAATTCCTGTGGGAGCGCGGGCACTGCGGCTCCACTGCCCCGGGAGCAGAGGCCCAGAGGGAGCCTGTTACGTGCCCACCTTTATTTCAAGCCCCAGAATCTCGGTGCCCCCCACCCATGGGGTCCAGTGCTCTCAAAGGGGCTCTTTCCCCAGGTCTCAGTGCCCCAGGATTTAAGACGCTGTACCGAGAAGCCTTTCCGGGCTGTCGGACTCCCCGTTCCACCTCCCAGTAAAGCCAACTGGAAACCAGTAGCCGCGTATGAGGAGGGGAGGGACGACGGATGGACGGACGAATGGTGACCCCTCTCCCCTCCTTCCACAGGCAAATCCCGAGGGAGAGGGAAGTTGGGGTGACGCGGGACTCTGCCATCGAGCAGCTCCCCCCCAAAAAGCGCCCTATTCCAGCCCTTGGGGTGCGGGCACTGCCCGCAGCCGCCTTTCCCCGCCTCCCCCTTCTCCCCTCCACCCTCCCAGGCACTAAACGCTCGGCTCGGGGACCGGAGGCGCTTATTCCCCCGGCCTGTCATCCCTGGATGCAAAGCTTTGGTTTTAAATGTATTTCCACCCGTAGTTAAGACGATGAAAGATCAGGAATTCGCTGTATGCATTTAAACGTTGCCCTTAATAAGCAGAGTGTGCGGAAGCGCACGCCCGGCCTGTTTAAGGAAGACAGACACATAAAACACACCCGAGCCGTGGGTATAAACCTGCTCTCGGGGTCGTCTCGTTGCTCTTGAGGAACAGTAGGGCTGGAAAAGCCGGGACACATCCAGCAGCGTCTCGAAACGTGCCACTTTTCTTCCCTCTTAAATCAAAGGCGTTCGGGGGCACGTTCCCCGGGGCAGGGCCGGCGAGCGACCCCCCGAAATTACGACGCTCTGTTTCTCATCGGGAAATTTCCCGATGGGGGATAATGGCTGGAAAATGCAGCGGAGCAGCGCCTCGCTTCCCTTTGCTCCGCTAGCTCGGCGTGCCTCGGGAGCGCACGCTGAAGGAGCCCTGGCTTTCCCTAGCACGGCTAGTCCTTGCTCCCGAAATTTCTGAATTAGATGGCCATAACGGTAAGCTTTGCTCGGGTTGGGAGGGGGGTTTTATTCCTCCCCCCACTCCCTTCCCCCCCTTTTTCTTTTTTCCCCCCTCAACCTTTTAATAAAGCTCCTTCCAAACCGCGACGGAGAGCAGACCTTCCACTCCGGAATTCACTAATTCCTTCACCCTCCTCCTAGTCCGGAGGGGCACAAACAAATGACAAAGGCGGGGAGCCGGGCTTTATTTAGCCGCCCGCAGCCACTTAACCGGCCTTTCATTTCACGTCTCCCATCAGCTCGGAGGAGGCACGGACAGGACGGGCGGCCGACGGCTCCCCACGGGTGCCGGCCCGCTGCCTCCCCTCGCCCCAAAGGAGGTCCCGAAGGCGCTCGGGGGGACGGTGCGAGGCTGGTTTTCGCCAAACCCCCGGGGAAGGAGAGAGCCGTGCCAGGTCTCGCTGCTGGGTGTCTCCGAGAAGAGCCACCGGAGCCGCGGGCTCACGGCCGGGGAGCAGCGGGGTCCCGGCCCCGCTCGGGGCCAGGCTGGGCTCGGACCCTCCTTCCCTTCTCTCCTCGGCCCCGGGAGAAGGCGGAGGGCCTCGCTGAGAAGCCGCCGCGCCTTATTTCCCAGCCTGCTTCCCTACCTCCAGAAAACTCCAACCAAAACAAAATAATAATAACAGCCACACTAGTTTTTTTTCCCCGAGGCCGTGCCTGGACGCCGAGCCGAGGGGCCATCCCCGGGGGCCGCCCGGGCTCCTCCCGGGGCTGCAGGCGCCGATGGGGCCGAGCCGAGCCGAGCCCGCTCCCCTCGGGACGGTCCCCCCGAGCAAACGGAGCTGAACCGGCAGCAAAAGAGGAGGGGGAGAAGGGAGGGGGATTAACCGGGCGGGTCTGGCCCCCGCCACAGCCGGTTTTTGGGCAGCACAGCTCTGCCTCCTCTCCCGAGGCAGGCGGGCTCCTTTCCACCCAGGGCGGCTTTTCCCTCGGTCACCCCTCGCTTGCCACCCGGTTCTGGGACCCCTGCAGGCATCTCCCCCTCCTCCCAGGACTCTGAGGCGATGCGGGCTCGTCTCGGGGTGTGTGCCCACCCCACCACCCCCTCCCCGCTCTTTTTCGGTCCTCGCTGTCCCCCGTCCCTCCCGTGAGAGCCCCGGCGGGGTTTTACCTTCGGGGAAGACGGCTCGCATTTTCAGGTAGCTGGTGGTGAGGCGGATGATGGACGCCTTGTCCAGCTGGGAGGTGATGGCCGAGGGCAAGGGCAGGAGTTTGGCCAGTTCGTAGAATTCTCCATTTTCTTTTTCCCGTCTAGTCTTTGCCGCGTTCTTGGATTTTTCCTTCATCGCGACTACTGCAAGGCGAGGATGTCACTGGCATATTAGACCCGATTCCTCCGAGTTGCAGGGGGCATGGATTTCGGCGTCAGAGTTAGTGTTTTCGTTTGAGGAAGGGAGAGAGCTCACCCAAATCAAATCAAATCAAATCAAATTATTATAATAATAGTAATAATAATAAAGGGATAGAGGGAATAAAAAGACAAAAAAGGGAGGGGAAAAAAAAAAAAGCCAAACCAACCAAACAAAAACAACACCAACAGAAATGGTGCGAGGAGGGGGGAGGCGATCTCTGAGCCACAACCGGGATAGGAAAGCCGCTCGGAGAAGGCAGTTCTGCTCTGGCCCTGCAGTAGCGAGAGCTTCGAAACCCAGACAGAAAGACCCACGCGAATCTCCGTCCTCTGCCTGCAGCTGGGAATCGGATCTTCTCCTCAACGGGGAGCAAATCACTGGGTTCCGTTCACTGAAGGATTTCTTCTACTCAATCCTTCCCCGTCCAAAAATAATAATTAAAAAATATATATATATATTAAAAGTAGAGCGTCCATGCAAGAAATCATTGAGCTAAGCAGGCTGAACTTTTTTTGGACATTTTGTCTCTTAAAAAAAAAAAAAAAAAGAAAGAAAGAAAACGGAAGGACCGCGCTGCTCGTTGAACGAAGTGCAAAATGATCTGGTCCCGGAGCCCGAGATGCCGAGGAGACGACGAGCCCCTCGCTAAGCGAAAGTCAAAGGCGGTGCGGAGGGAGCTGATGGCTGGAGCGCTCCGAAATCACGAGCTCGCATTTCCCTCGGACGCTTCCCTCTCGGCGGGCTGGTCCTGCGGCCGAAGGGCGCTTCCCCCGGGCCCGAGGGGCTCCTCCAGCGCCGGGGCTCGGGGGGCTCCGAGCCCCGCGGGCGGCGGGGCCGAGCGGGCGGCGGGGCTGCGGGCACGGGGGGCTGCGGGGCTGCTCCTGCCGCTCCGGCCGCTGCGCCCAGCTCCAAATGTGGTTCTCATGCGGAGTCAAATTAAAGGATCCGTTTTCCTCGGGACCAGTGCCACTTCAGCGTTGTCTCTTTCCAAACAAGTCCGAGCGCTGGCAAAGGCGCGGGATTGATTTTGTTGCTTTTATTTATTGTTGCCTTTTTTTTTTTTTATCTCCTTTTTCCTCCTTTTAAAGAAAAAGAATTTGCTAAATCAGAAATAGTTTCTTTTTTCTTTTTTTATCCCCCCCCTTTTTTTTTTATTCGTCACTTATTTAAAGAGCAAAGCGGTGGCTCTTTGGCATAGACATGCCTTTCAAAAGCAAGGGGAGGGTTTGCTACATTCACCTCCCGCAAGGAGCAGCGATCCTCACCATACGGCAAGGATCGAAGGTAAAATTCCCCTCCTCTCGGAAATCATAGCTGCCACGCTCCTCGCCTGAAAGCACCGATATCTCCGCTTTTTTTTTTTCCTCTTTTCTTTCTTTGCCTTTTTTTATTTATTTATTTATTTTCCAGGGGCAGAAGCAGCTCTGAAGTGGACCTCTCGGTTAATTCTTTAGCAAAGGCTGCGGAAAGCCAGGAGAGCCTCAAGAGGGGAGGGGATAATGCATCCGTGACGTGTCCTCCCGCGCAGCGCCCTCCGAGGGACCCAAATGCAGAGGAGCCAGAAAAGAGCCGCAATTAGCACTTGCGATGGGACGGGGGGCCGGGCCGGGGGGAGCCGGGGGCGGAGGCCCTTTGCTGTGGCAGCCCGAGCCCGCTCCCCCCGACCTCCGCGAGCGGCCGGCGGAGCCCCAGGACCCCCTTGCCCCGTACCCTGCCCTCGCTTGGTGCTTGGCCGTGACCCCGCAGCGCCGAGGGAGCCCCTCGAACCCTCCCCGGGTGTGTGTGGGACCCCCTTCCCAGACCCACGGCAGCTCCATGAAGTCACCCCAAGCCCTTTCCCCCGTTCTTTTGGCTCTGGTTAAAACGTACCTGCTCACCCACAGGTATGTGTGGCTCCTCTGTTCACAAACACGTATATCCCGCGTTCATTTATACTGTATATGCACATTTTGCATATACATTATACGCGTGCGTAAGTACGGATATATATAAATATATATAAATATATGCACAGGAGAACATGCACAGACGCGCATACACACGCATTTATACTTAAACACACGCATATATATTTGCACATACACATATATTTTTACACACACACGTATTTTTTATTTATATATTTGCACGTGGCCCCTCGGACATGCGGTGGAAGGGGGGTCGAGCTCCGGGGGAGGCGGTGGGAGCAGCCGAGGGGCCACCCCGTGCCCTCCCCGCCGACAGCCGCTGCTCCTCAGCCCCCGACGTGACTCCGCGCTGCCCGGCGGGCCGCCGGTGACCGGGGCTTAACCCCGGAGCTGCCGAAACAGCTCTCGGGGGGACAGTGAAGCAACTCCCGGAGAGCCCAGGCTTTGCCGGGGCCCCCCGAGCCCCCTCCGTCCAGGCGGTCCCGCGGAGCTCCCGGGGCTGTAACCGCAGGGCTCGGGGCCACCTTGGCAGGGGTTGTCACAGAGCGATGCCCGGTGTCCCCTCGCCGCCAGAGTCATGTCCTGAGTGGCGGAATTAACCCCAGCCTGGGCAGGACTGAGCCGGGCTTTGACACGGCCCCGACCCGATGGGAGCCCTTCGCGCTCCGGGGGCATCTCGGCACTGCCGAGGGGGACACACACCCGCACTTGCGTGTCCCTGTCCCGCTCCACGGGGCACACACACTCATCCCAGGGGGAACAGACCCTGCCCGCGCCCCTCGCAACACCCTGGGACACGCGTGGCTCCAGCATCCAGCGTGCGGGGGGAGCAGGGATGAGGCCGGGGATTAAAGCAGGGAGGAAAGGAGAGAAGGAGGGACCAGCAGAGCGTCGGGCGAGACGCGGCTCCACCATCTCGGACACAGGGAGGGTGCCCAGGGGGATGGGATCGCCCGTTTGCAAAACACAATGCACCGGTCCTTAATATTAATCCCCGGGAGAGGCCTGGCCGGCGGGTGAGTGTGTTTGCTTAAGCTCGCCCGCCCCTCCGTAATTATCCTATTACACCAGAAAGAGCCCGGCCCGGCTGTGCCGAGGGAAAGGCCACGCTCTTTAACCTCCCCGCCGCCGGCACCCCTGCCCCGGCTCTCCCCGTCTGGGCCACCGCTCCCCGGGGGATGGCGAGCAGGGAGATTCGGTCACCTTCTGCCTTCCCGGCTTGAAATGTGGGGCAAGGAGAGGGTGAGCGGGCCCTGCCCGTCCGACCTCTTGCCCCGTCCCAAACCCGTCCCCTCCTGGCTCAGGTGCCCGGTTTCGTCCCTCGGCTGACGCGGCTTTTGTAGGGAGGACCGCGGGCCCCGGGAACGGGCTCCCTGCCCCGCCGTCCTGGCTGGGATTTAGGCTCGAACTGGTTCCAGGTCAAGGAAACCTGAGCGAAACCCTTGCACCGGCGAGCACGGGGCGATGTGACCCGTTCTACCCTCCTGCACTGCCCTTTTCACCCGCAAAATAGGAACAGCGCCCTACCCCTCTCTCGGGGGTAACCTCTCTCCTGGGCACTCTTGGAGCAGGTTTGGTGACGGCAGATGTAGCCGGCGATTAAACCCGCCGCTGTATTTTTCTTTTTACGGAAGCGTGTTCCGGCTGAGACTTTTCGCCGAGCAAAACAAACCTAAATTAATCTAGGGGGGAAAAAATACCCCCAGAACCAAAAGTAAAACGCCCGTCGAAAAGAAACTTCAGCCTTACGGGGAAATTCTCAAAATTCAATGTAACCTCCGCCCACCGCCGAAACTGGACGCGTTAACAGAGGTAAAAAATATATACGGGGGAAATATATTATATATATATTATATATGTGTGTGTGTGTGTGTGTGTGGAAAATTAGCTGTATATCAAGGCAGGTCCTAAGGGGTCCGATACAACGAGCTCTGCGGTCGCTGACCCCAAGAAGGAAACTATATGGGACATTTCTGCGTCCTGTAAACAAAATATAGGAACGAGCGACTGGGTGGCAAAAGAAAGCGTGAGTGGAGCATGTTCCGTTTCTAACAAATTACGGTGGTTTGGAGAAAGGGCAGGTTTGGGAATGTTTTCAACATAATCCCGGCAGAAAAAAGAAAAATCATGTTGCTACAAGGGTGGCCCGAACCTATGGAGGTGGATTCGCGGTGTGGAACTCGGTGAGTCGGAGGTGGCTGCAGGGACCTTCCGGCAAGGGCTTCCCCCCCGACCGTTTGAATAAAAAACTCCACGCCAGGGACGAAAATAAATAAGGAGAATAAATAAAACAATAAATTATTTTAATATTCGGACCATGTTTTCGCTGGTGCGTTATTGTTGAATGATAAATCGGGCACGAGCAAACCCCGCTGTCATTTAACAGCATTTCCCCCTGGGTTGGAGGGGAAAACTTCACCGGGTGGGAGATAAAGGGAAAGCGTTTCTGTCCAAGGTGAGCTGCGTTGCAGGGGAATATTTCTCCTTCCTTTCCCTTCCCAGGGAGGGAAATAGAGAGGAAAACGAGGCGTGAGAATAACTCCCCAGCACCCCCAAAACAAACTCCTTGAGCACCGCCCGGCACCCCACGCTGGGCACAAGCCCGAGGGGCTTATTCTGCGCCGGTGCGAGGAGGGGAATTCCCTAAGGAAAGGCTCAAAGAGAGGGGGTACAACGCCTTGTTTTTTCTGGCAATGCTGCCAACAGCACCTTGCGGAATGGGGGGCACACGCGGGACTCCCGTCCCGTGGGCAGTGGGGTGGACAGCCCCACCAGCGCTCCCCTCCCTTCTCCTGCCCTGCCGGGAACCGGGAGAATTCCAGGGGCGCTCCCGCCGAGCTTTGCAGGACTCGGCGCGTTTCGGTGGGGAGGAAGGGCCCAGGCAGGGGCAGGCGGCAGGACGGGGGTTGCCGTCCACTCGTGTCCGTGGAAGTTGTCCCGGAGCGCCACGCTTCCAACTCTTGGCACAAACACCTTTGCAGGGCCGTGGCTTTGGCGTTCCCGGAGTTTTCCTGCTTTTCTCGCTCTGCTGATCCCGTACCATAAAACACCCGCGGTGGTGGATGGGTCGAGGCTCGGGGAATCGGGGCTGCGGGGCCAAGCGCAGCGCCGGTCTTAACTTTAGTCCGATGTGCTTAGCTGAAGTATTAACTGTGAGAAATACCACCGAGCTCCACAGGAAAGAAAACATCGTCAGATATTTTAACATTCGCAGCCTGCAACATCAGCGGCGCTGCTACGAGCTCAAGAGCCAGCGGTGCTTATCGTCCCCGGAGGAATCCCCCGTATTTTGTTTTCCCCTGTAACTACTGTTCCCAAGCGTGGATGTACACACACACCCGCTCACACACACAAATCCTATAAATGCTAATAAAACAGATTCGTCGGGATTTGTTTAACTTTCCCCGGCACCACCATCTCGTGTTGATATTCGGTGGGGTTACTGGTGTGCACGAGGATTACTGGTGAAGTGTGTAGGACCACGGGATCAACCTTCTAGGGTGCCACTCGGACATGTCCCTACAAACAAGCAAGGTAGGAAACTGCAAGCACTGGCAACGCGTTTAATTTGCACTGAACACTTGAAAGGGGAAAAAAGGAAGTTAAATCTTGGTGCCCGAATTATTGAACTATGCAGAATCGAGGCCTCCGGTTGCAGGGGATCGTTTTCAGCTCTTTACTGGGAGCTGTATCGCTGCCATTGTCCAAACCTTTGCTGCCCACATGGGACCGCGCTTGGCAATAGGACAGAAAATTATTTCTACTGGGCATGAACTGGAAATATCCAGCTGGGGCATGGATCCCATTTCTAATCAGAGTGGAGGGGAGGAAATCTCAGTGCTCTTGCTTGTTACTCAGGGAGTTTGTCAAAAGCGCCCTGAGTTAACTATCCAGAAAAAATACGGCTGTTTAAAAGTGAAATAAAGGTTGTTTGGGTGATTTTTTTACCCCCCTTAGAACTTGTAAATTGGTTTGTTTGTTGTTTTTCTGTACACGGTGTAAAATAGGGTACACGGTGTGAGCAATGTACAAAATGTAAAGTGATAATATAGGCGTGCAACACTGCAGGAGCTGTCAGAGTTGATGGACTGATCCAAATGGATGATATTTGCAAAAAATATGTCTAAGTTAAATACTCTGAGTGCTCATGTTCGGGTCAGGTTTTCAATTTCAGTTTTCTAAGGAGAATAAAGTTGTTTTGTTAAGGTCAACTTCGGGTTTCCCCCCACCCCACCCACCCAACTGGACATGGAATTTGATGAATTTTCTGAAAGCATTTTCATAAAAATCAGATAATTGATATTAATTATGATACCCAAACTTTCATGTCCAAACATTTGCTTCTGCTAATACAAGCTGCAAACCATATTTCTTTTAGCTACAGTAGTTTAAAAGGCAAAAGCTGTCCTTGGGAATAGGAGAGGGAGTGTATCAGTCAGAGAGAGGAAGCTTCCAGGCTGTAGAAATTGGAAAAACCTAGTAGGAAAAGCACACAGTGGATCATTTTTACTCTATCTGTCTGAAATCCTTTGAACGTTATGAAAGTCAGTGTAAGTATTTTTATTTACTTTTTTTAAAGTTACGTTCAGTGACTTGTTTTCTCAGTGGTCCTTGGCTTGTATGAATAGTGTGACTAATCGAGTGGAGATGAATAATGGATCTGTGAGGAATAGAGGAATTCTGATTCAAAACCATCTCTCTCCTTTTTTTTTTGGTGGTATTTTATGCTTCTTGGCATTCAATATATTATATAATGGCTGTCAGAAGAACTTTGGTAGTGAAGTTTATAAATACTTTAGTCATGATTTAGAAATGATGAATGGAAAACGCTATTTATACATAATTATGTGATGTTTTACTATGTTCTAAGCACATTCATAAGCAAATGTATGTGCCCTCATTATCCACTGTGCCTTTGATTTATAAATAGGTATTTTACCGTGTACAGGCAGAGAAATTTAAGTGAAGAATGATG